GCTTCCCAAGGCGCAAGGCTAGACTCACCCAGTTGAGGTTGCGTTCATGCTCATACACTAGCGACCAGTAGCTTCCGAGAGTGGAGAGCATGGGCAATGGGAGGGTAGCAGATAGCAGGTAGAGTATGGGGAGATAGGAGGGTAGCAGACAGGTAGAGAGTATGGGGCGACAGAAGGGTACCAGCTACCCTCCTATCGCTTCATACTCCACTCCTGGATGCTGCTGGTCGCTGGTGAACGCTGCTGGTCGCTAGATCGATACCTATACTTCCCTAGCCCTCGAGACGCTGCTGATTGCTGGTGGACGCTGCCGCGAAGTATGAACGCAGAAAGCCGATAGCATAGACTCATCGTCAAGTTTATGAAATGTGATTCACTTACGTCGTGAGGTGCAGATGCAGGTGTCATGGACTTCAGTACCAAAGATTCTGAACGAGCCAACTTTGCGCTTCCGTGACGTTTTTCAGCTTTGGCTGAAACGGCGCTTCTTCTTGTAGGCAGCTTTTTATCTTCACACTTCTTATCAACACGTTTCCAGAAGCTTTTTATCAGTGGTGACCTTCTGATTGAATTTGTGCCGCCTTTTTGTTTGCGCCGTCTCTGGGATGTATCATTTTTATCACTTTTCTTTGCAGGAGACGCTCGTTCAGTGCCCTTCCGCTGCGTTTGTTTTGCTCTTTCTTCTTCTGAATTGTCTGCCTTTGCCTTTTCACGATGACGTGCTTTTTTCTTTTCGTGCTTTGTTCGTTGTTCCTGAGCGTCTTCATTTTTTCGTTCGCGATGACTGTCTGAATTCTTGCGCTCACATACGGCCGGGGCGTCCTCAGGCTTGCGTTCGCAGATAGAAATCTCTTCCGATGGCTGGGTCCGCTCACACTGAAAGCGCTCAAACTCTCCGGAGCCTATGTTTTTTTTTCAATAATGTACCTCATAATAGAGCTCTGGTGGGTTAGGATAATTGATGGGTGACAGTGATAGGAAGTTACATAGAGCTCATAAGATCTTATGAGGGGTTCATGTAGGGGTGCGCTGAGAAGGAAAGCGCTTCAGAGGCATAAGGCACTAAACTGGTACTCCGTTCAAAGTGGTAGTAGGCTACATAGTGGAAAAATGGCGAAAAGCCTTGGTTATACACGGCTCAGAAAGCGATTCCGGACTAGTTTACCGTTGGCATCGTGCAATGAACGTTACCGTATAGTGTAGTTCGCTGCGGACGATTGGACGTGTCAGGCGATGAGTTTGGCGCGGTGCCAAACCCGTTCTCCACCAGTTGTTAAAGAGAGCAAGTGATATGACTGTATCATATCGTTCGTATTACTCGCTTTCTAACCACTTTATTTTCTGCGCACGAGGCTCATCAAGGAGGCATGAGAACGGCGTTTGACGGTTGACACCCCATGCTGCCTGACACGCCCAGCCGTCCGCAGCGAACTAGAGTGTAGATACGGCTGCATGTGTGACACACATTTATCCATGCAGCACCGCTACCGTTTTATATCAATCCCTTTGGTTCATATTGTGCTTCGGCATCAGTCGGACATTTGCGAGCGAGCGAGTTGCGGTGGGCGCGCCGGAGGCTGCCACCTTGTTAGGGCGCTGTAAGGGTGATTTATTGGATAGAGGCCGCCACACAGCTCCTAGTTGGAGGACGCTCTGTCCTGCTAAGGCGTGATGTAGTCGCTACATGTCTGAGGGATTCTATCGGTAGCCACTTGCCTCCAAGAGGGATTACTCCCAATGAGGCGGCAACAGGTTGTCAGCTGGCGAGTTATGCCATGACTTACAGCGGCAACTTGGCGGGTTTAGTTATGCTCCGCGTGAGTTGGAGAGGTTTCTTTGTGGCCAGTCAGGAAAAAGCGGAAAAAGGGGGAGGGCGGAAGTTTCAGTAGCGCTTACAGGACGCGATGTCCATTAGCTACCTATATTCAAAATCTCTTACCTCTAATTGGCTATCACTTGGCCCTGTGGATTCGCTCCTGTTTCCTTCCATCATATTCCAGTTCTGAAACACCGTGATCAAAGTGTCAAAAAAATGTGCCACGTTCAAAAGGTTTGGCACTATTTACCCTTTACTGCCCCAGTCATCCGAAATCAGGCCAGTTCCTGACCGACTTTTTTCTCCGTGGGCAGAATTTGCTGAAAACTTGGCTCCGGGGGTAGTTCGACCCGCTGAACACGAATATTGCATCCGCTTGACCCGAAAACCTCCTGCGCCTCCCCGCTCCGACGGACACCGGCGCCAAAATACCCCAAATCATTGGCGCCTGTGGCGCGGGCGCCAGGAAGTTTTGGGCTGAGCGAATGTGATATTCGTATTCTGGAGGTCAAACTACCCCAGGAGACAACATTTGAGCAAAATCTGCCCACGGAGAAAAAGTCGGTCAGGAGCTGGCCTGATTTCGGATGACTGGGGCAGTAAAGGGTAAATAGTGCCCACGAGGTGTTAAGCTAGGCGGGAATTCGAAGCAGCTATCAATCTTGTGGTACTGCACCCCGTTGAAAATGTGCTAATGGCGCTCGACAATTGAAAGTTATGGCTTGAACCTCAGTGACATCCGTCTCATAAGAAAAATGATAAACTCAAATCATATACTGCAACCGATTGCAGTCGCATCCGAAGACCGCTCTGAACTCTGAACACACCGGGACGTGTTGTGGTGTTTATCTTTTATCTGTGATCCACAAGAACCGCATAACACTGCTATCACGCTACAGTAATACCTAATGTGCTTACGGTAGGTGTGCGCAGAATGCATCCCGATGTAACAAGAAAGCTTTCGTGAGATAGCCCTGGAAAGTAAACTGTCAAAATTTAGGAGATAGAAAGTGAAGTAGTTAGCTGATGACAAGGAAACCTGTATCGAGTCATTGCAGGCGGCGTCTCAAGCCACGTAGCGCCATGGAACAGGGGTGAGTCTAGCCAAAGAGGAGAACGACAGCACGAGAGTCCACGTTACTCGGCTTTGCTCCGCGAAAATTGGAAAAACAGCGAAGTCAGAACAGCTACTTTGCTTGTCTGTGCAAAGCTCCAGCTCGCACCAAGAAATAGGATGTGCGGAGGGAGAGACCTTCTAGGCTGATAAGATGAGTGGCGCTGCGATCTCACTTATGATGCGCACACAAACAGGTCTCTTAAAGGCTGTTAGCACGGAGAATTTTGTACTCAGCCGAAAATGCTGGCAGGGCGCCATATAGTGGGATAATGGCAAAAGAACGGGGTGAAACGGTCAAAAACCTACGAAGAAAAGCCTTCACTCTTGATTAATCAAAAAAATTTTGGAGTTTTCCGTAGGCATCTTGTCAATACCCGCTACCGAAGCTACGGCTGCATGTACAGGGGGGCCAAAAAAAGTCACTTGTCTTCATTGACTTTCGAGGCGCTATAAGTTACACAGTATTAGATTCTGATCGACATTTCTAAACGCACCCACTAGTTCAACAGCGAATATTGAATACTGATCATGACACCCCCGCCACAGTCACAGCACAGGACGAGCGCCATCGGAAGAGATTCTGGCACGCAACCGCGCGATGTGTGCCGAGAGTACTGGTCTCCAGGTAGCTATCCATGGGTGACTCCATACTAGAAGTTTCGCAGCTGTTTGGAGGTGACATGATTTCCGAAGGTCTTCTCCAGTCAGGCTGCGACTGGAGATGACTTCATATTTTGCTGTACATGAAGCTGATGGATGAGAGCGAGCTCCTGCTTATTGAGGAATATCTTGGGTATCTTCTGCCCTGGTACTCGTATCCACGTCCTCTGTCTGGGCAGCGAAAACTTTGCTGATATGTGACTCGGTCGAAGTGACTTTTTTGCCCCCCCCCCACCTGTTGTACTCATATAATCACCCGCCGACCGCGTCGCTCCACTCGAATCCCTTTCTGTTCATAATTTGCCTATCAAATTGAATGCAATAGCGAGTCAGAACGTGTGCGTCCATTTGTGGGTGCGCGGGCGTAGAGGGCGTCCGGGTCGGTTGTTGTAGACTGATAGTGCCCTTTATAAGGGTGCCTTCATTGGAAAGGACGCTGCGCAGCGCCTGCTCAGGGGCACGGAATTCCGTCCTGCCTACTCGTGTTCAGGGATTTATCGTGCCAACTGCCTTCAAATATACTGTGAACGCGAAAACGCTAGAATGTGATTACCACGCTTTTTCAGTGAGCAACTTATGCAACACCACCGAGTAGAAACCTTCAGTAATCCAATTAAAAACTACTCCTAGTAGTAGCCCATTTTGCAGGAGAAGATGCTGCCTTACAGACGATATCGTCGCACTCAGCCGGGGCGGAGTCAGGAGGCATGGAATGAGCTAACCATGTGTGTTTTCTACCTCTACTGCTTTCTTCTCGAGTCGACCGCCAACCGATCATTTTTGGCAGCAATCCCTCCTGGAACCGCCCTAATTGATTGCGATAATATCGAGTATATGTAGACTCTACTTCGCTGCGACGGTTGGGCGTGTCAGCCAGTATGAGCGTGCACAGCGTCAAGACCGTTCTCTGCCTGCTTGTTTGAGCGCGCATGCGACAAAAAGTGGTAGAAAACGAGTAATACGATCGATATAATACAGTCATCGTCATTTCGTTTGCCTTTGAAAAGTCGCTAGATAAAGGGCCCCATTGATGGTGCTGGGGCCGCCATGTTGCTGCGCAAGACGCAAGCAGCCGCACTGGACACGGCCAATCCGTCCGTGGAGAACTAAACTTAATCACCATTCTTTGCTTGTGGCTAGTTCACAGGTTTTGACGGTCCTTGCGAGCGTTCAAAGACTGCAAGCAACTTCTAAAACAGACCTTTGGTACGAATAACTGTAGAACGATTGGTAGAAACCTTGACTGTTTAAATTATTAGTAAGGGATAATGTGATCGGAACCATATTAAGTTCTCTTCTCTCCAGGACGGCATATAGCCGTGGACTATAATCGGCGGCTGACTTGAAAAGGGCTGGTAAAATGTGCGAGAAGTTTTTACCCAGTAGTAGCCACACTGTATTGTAGTGGAACTTTCTGATGGAAAGCAATTAGACAAGCAGCGACTTGGTAAAAGAGATTAGGCCTGCGCCACTCCATATCCAGATGATGGAGACGGCGTGGCGCGGTATCTTTGCACGAGCATGGGGTAGTGCGGCGTTCCTGAGGAATAATTTCATTCCAGTAGATATCATTCTGTATGTCGTGTCACTTTTACAATCGTCAACTCAAAGAATGTCCGATCTGAAGCACCATCGGCTTCCCAGTTTTAAAGGACACATGGTACGCTCAAACATCATTAAGGGTGTATGAGACTAACAGCCCCCCAGCTGTCGATGTGTCGTGGTTTCCCCGCCCGAAACTGCACGGGGGTCCGAGTACGGGACCGTGGGAAAGGCTTATTCCTTGCCAGCACCCGCCCAAAATCGCACCCGCGCGGCACGTTGGCAGTTTCGCCGCGGCAGCAGGTTTGGCATTTTGGGCGGCGGCTGGAGCCACGAGAGGAATAAGCCTTTCCCACGGTCCCGTACTCGGACCCCCGTGCAGTTTCAGGCGGGGAAACCACGACACATCGACAGCTGGGGGGCTGTTAGTCTCATACACCCTCAATGTGTTTGAGCGTACCATGTGTCTTTAACATGGCGCAACTACGCCCCCGCATCTTCGGGATATGAAACACATCTACACAGCGGGTACACCGTCGTTTGATTGTGCACAGAAGAGCTTTCTTCCCGCAGATTTTTATTCATCGTTGGACTTAACACTTCGTATAAGAAATTCTAATCGTCTTTGATGGAAAGCCTTTTGAAGTTCAAATGAAATGAAGATGAATGCGATCTGAAAATTACAATGGCATATACGTCTTGATTTTATTATAAATTCCTTTCTGAGATAGTGACATCCTTTGGTGATATATATCTCATCTGAGCCCTCATAAAATGTACAGAGCTTGAACCTTGCAGAGAAAAGGCCGCCAAAAGACTGTTGTCCCTATCTCAAAGAGCTGGTCCTGCCCAGGCGGCATGAGCATGCGGTCAGCGTTATGCACGGTGATGTGGACAGGACTATGCTTGGGTTTCTCCCGACAACATCCCAATTCTAAGGGTCAGAGGATTGTCGAAACGCCGGTAATGACTGAAATCCAAGCACGCTGTAACATGTACAAGGGAATCGAAGATATCATGTGAACAGGACAGCTGTGGTTCTGTAGTAGCCGTTGGACCAGAGCGCTTATCGACTGGATCCCGTTGACGTCTGGAAAAAATGCTGAGACGAAATGGCGGTCAGACTCTGTCTGAGAAGAGATCTACATGAAAAGATTCGATTGCCTTTGTATTCCTCGAGCCAGCACAACTTTCAGGCCGCTCGTGCCCTCAGGGTCACGTTACTTGGGCCCTTGTGAGGAAATGAACGGCAGTAAAGGTAGTCCCATCATTAATTCGTTATATACAGTATCTATCCGGGCCCCAATCTAGAAGACTAGAAAAAACAGTCAGACCACAGCCATACAGGCTTCCAGCCATCTCGCGGTGTGGAAGAACGCCAGAAACATCCGTCTGTAGTCGGAGCCCAGGAATATATTTGGCGTTTACCTGCTGTGGTACATGCCTATGATTTTGGTCTACCCGTGGGGTCGTCTCTGCGTCACCGCCTGATCGACCACTACTCAGAAGTAATCGGGCCTTATTGGAAGCCCTTTCCTAGTCCTGATTGGTACTGGTTGGTCAAGTGTTTCCTACAGATTCTTGCTTGAACCCGATTAAAAGTGGCCTACGCGGAGTGCTTCACTAAAATAGAATGGCAAAACTGAGGCTTGCCTCTTCTTTGTTACTGCCAGCTCGTGCAGGACGACATCGAGCAGTCGTCAGTTGGCTTTCGAAGCACGTGTAATCAAATGTCGCTGAACAATCTACGGCCACTTAAGTTTGGGGCCCAGTTTCCAGCGCGTTCACTGACTTTACAAACTTTTTTGCCAATAAAAAAAATTCCCAAAAAGAATTTCCTGGGGAGGGGAGGGGGAAG